CCAAATTAATCTTCCCTCCGCACAACAATCCAAGCCGCGACGCTCCTCTCACAAGCTCCACCAACAAGATCTTCCGTCTATACGTAGCGTCGGCTGGAGTCGTCGGACTTCTGATTCCGATCTGCTACATCTTCGAAGGAATCGTGGAAGGCGATAAGAGCGGTGTGAGCGCCGCCACACCGCACGTGTTTCTCTTGGCGAGTCAGGTTTTCATGGAGGGATTAGCCGCCACGTGTGGCTTCTCTGCTCCGGCTCGGATCCTCGTGCCGATCGTTTATAACGCGAGGAGGATCCTCTCGCTCGTGGAATGGCTTATGAGCGAGTTCTCAAGGGAGTATGGGACCGGGACAGTTTCGGCGAGGAGGATTTACGCCGGTAAAGTTTTGGCGGTGGTGAATTTAGGGATTTGGTCGTTTAATCTCTTTGGTGTTTTGATTCCGGTTTATCTCCCTAGAGCTTTCAAGAGGTATTACGGTTCTGGGAAGGAGAATTAAATCCGGTTTAGTTCCTTCCTAGCTTCTTCTTCTGTCTGTCGTTTTTTTGTTTAATCGGGTCCGGTTTGGTCTTAAGATTAAACGTGAATCTAGTTATGTTTCTTTTCTTCTCTATATGTGTATTATTTTCTTCGATCTATGAGACTATATGTATCATGGTTCTCTTATATTTCTTAAGATAAAAAAACAAAATCTCTTTTTCAAGATTGATCAGATAAAAAGAACGAAAATGAAAAAAATTATCACTTCTTACCAAACTTTGTAGCCTAGCTTAATTCGTTTACCATCCGGATTCGCACTTCTTCTTTTTTTAACACAGGTCAAAATTTAATCCACAAAGATCCAAGAGATTTGATGCCATTATTGATCGTGTGGCTTAATCTCCATCATTGTTTTCTGGTTCATAGCCGCCTTTAGCACTCTCTGCATAACCTGATCTTGATAAGCTTGAAAACCAGCACTGCTCTGCGATAGTAAATCGGTTTGTTCTGCTCTCTGAAGAGGTACAACTATCTTCTTTACTTGGTTTGTACGTCTCTTCTTCTTTGCTTCTTTTGCACGTATCCTCTCCACTTCCTCTTTAAGCCTCCTTGAGAAACTCTCTTCGTCGTCGTAAGGAGTAAAAGCAGAACGTTCTCTTTTCTCCAAATCCGACATCATCTTACGCCTCTTGGAACCTATCTTGTCTTGTTTTTCATGCTGGATTCTAAGAAGGGAATCAAACAATTTCCGGGTTTTTTCGTGTTTGAGAACTTCGTAAGATGTCTTGAGCTTCTGAAATTTCTCATGAGCATGAGGATCATCTGGTCGTTTATCTGGATGCAAGTCCAAAGCTTTTAACCTGTATGCTTTTGAAATCTGGTTCACGCTAAGCTTTAGAGCTTCTTCTCCAGAGGGTAACCCTAGAACTTTATAGTGATCCACAAAATCCTCCATCTTGAAATATAGGTTGCCTCTTTCTTTGCTAAAAAGAAATTGTCTTTAATAAAAAAAAAAAATTTCCAAAGAGTCTGCCTTGAGTTTATTCAAGTCCACTCGTTGAACGATTATCAAGGAAGCTTTACAGGCAAGGCAACACATGCTTCCTAACCTATGTAGTCAACTCATTGACAATGTATTCGCACATTTTACTGTTAAATATTTGTGTGATATGCTAATAAAAGGAAAATAAGAAATTACTCATTTAACATATTACATCATGTATGAACGTAACGGTGTAACAAGATTAGACGCAGGAGCTGACCCAAGAATATTCCAAGTTTCTAACTATATTAGTAGAGAGGTGGTTCTGCAAACGAAAAGCTAGCTTATTTATTCAGTGTGTATAAGTTGTTAGACCCCAATCTCTTATATTTCTCACTGTTCCACCGAGTCATGGATCAAGGTTGGGTTGTTATATAGGTTTCTTTATTTTGTCTTTGGTAATGAAGAAAAACGAGACGTTTTCTGACTTTGTTAGCTGAGTCCAGATCGTAATCCGGGGAAGAAACTCCAGCTGTTTCCTGTGACCTTCTCGATATTCTCTTCTTTTGTGTTGTCGAATTTGAATTCTTTGCTGGATCCGATCGAAGAGGAACTAAGCTTATGAATTCTCTGTTGTTCGGTTTCTCTATCTCCTGACCCTTTCTCGACCACTCTGTTTCTGCTTCTGTCTATTGATGAACTCTCCTCTGTCTCAATCCGGTCATTGTTGTTCATTCTGTCATGTGATCGATTTAGCTTGCTTGCAAGACAACGTGCGACGTCTTCACCTGTTAACTCAAAAGAGACTCTGTGATCCGCAACAATGACTTCAGACCCATGATCCGAATTGGTCAGAGACGCGACCTCAGATATCTGATTCTTTAGAGGCCATGTCGTGTTGTTGGGTGTTAGGCTTCCAGATATCATCCCTGGACCATTTGGTGTCAGAGCCCCTGAACCAACCCCTGAACCATGCCCAACAGGCGTGATCGATCCAGAACCAAACCTCGAACCCCATTTACGGGCTGTGAAGTGCTCAAAACCCAGGAACTTTGGAGGTTCACCTATTCGAAACTCAACCATGGGGCATTTACCTGGGTAGGGAGAAGATGTACCAGAGTTTGAAATCACTGACCCAGGGGAGATCAGATTACCACCACCAGGACTCCCCGGACACACCTGATTAGACCGAAACTCATAGTGTGACGACGAGAACTTTTGGTTCATCCCGCTGCTGCTCCTTCGAGTTAGCTCCAACGAAGATGTAAGCAACTGAGCAAAGGGCACTTCAGGGGAAGAAGGTGTAGTTATGTGGACTGATGATTCCGGGGGTGGAGTGTATGGCGCAGTGGATGGTTCGGTTATAAAGGCAGAGAATACTGGAGGAGTGACGGGTTGAGTTTCATTAGCATATGGTCCAATGGCAAAGACAGATTGAGGTTCCTTAGGGGAGAATGTATTGTCGGCGAGAGAAAGTTGACCAACAGGCGAATGAGACACGGATGAAGGATCCGATTGCAGAAATGAAGCTGGAGATGAAGGAGGAGCTATAAAAGGAAGAACAATCGAAGTTGAAGTGGCTGAGTTTTGAATTGTAACCACCGGAACTCCAGATGCAACCGGTTCAGGACCAAGCACAGCATTCCCAATCCGTTTGTTGTTCTTTTGAGATCCAAAGCACGAGTATAAGCTCAAACAGCTTCCCCACCTTCTCTTCTATACAATCAAACACATGAAAATTAGATATTGTGAAATAAATACAATCTTGATCCCTTTTCTAGAGACATTTGAGTACTGTTTCACCAAAACTTCTCCAAGTAAAGCGTTTAAAATAAAATGACAGAGAACAATAAATCGTGTAAAAAGAGCACATAATCTTTAATAGTAGTTTCCAATAATTACCTAAACATTGTAGTTACGCTTTTGGAGAAATTATACTATGACTGGAAATTACCAAACATGAACTGAAACCACAAATGCTTTTAACCTTTTAATCATGAATGGTATTATGACTTGTAAAGCCAATCTTGAAAAAGCAAAGAATATACAACAAAGCAAACAAGTCGTCTTTTTACCTTTATGAGTCCAAATTATTATCCAGAATAATAAAAGCAAGATATAACCCATCAAATTCACCCCAATTAAGCTCACCGATTCCATAAATCTAAGCTCTGATCTACAATCGT